CTCAAAAATCTCTAGTCTTTCACCACAAAACGAAGAAATTAAATGAAAAAAAAATCTTCTATACACACTTTCATCCTAAATTCTCAAAAATCTCTAATCTTTCAGCTCGAATAATGAAGAAAAAAATCAAAAAAATTGTAGAAAAATATATTCTCCACACTTATTATAGCCCATAAATTTTCAAAAATCAGTAAAAAATTATTTATCTTTTAGCGCAAAAATAATATCTACTATAGTACAACACTTATTGTAGTATAGTATAACCTAATTTCTCAAAAATATCCAATCTTTCACCACAAAACGAAGAAATTAAATAAAAAAAAAACATATTCTCTACACTTTTAACCTAAAAATTTCCAAATCCTCCACCGCAAAACTAAGAAATTAAATCAAAAAAAATATTCTCTACACTTTTAACCTAAAAATTTCCAAATCCTCCACCGCAAAACGAAGAAAACAAATCGAAATCCACGCCGCTCAGATACCCCTAATCTCGACATCAGCCCGAAGAAAATTCAATTACACCACCTCTATGCCAGTATAAAAAAAATAAAAAAACAGTAAAAAAAAATATTCTACAAACTTTTGTCCTAAATTCTCAATAATATCTAATCTTTTACCACAAAACGAAGAAATTAAATGATGAAATTCTATACACTTTTATCCTAAATTCTCAAAAACATCTAATCTTTCATCACAAAACGAAGAAAATGAATCAAAAAAACTAGTAGAAAAAAATATTCTATACACTTTTATCCTAAATTCTCAAAAATCTCTAATCTTTCACCAGGAATAATAAAAATAAATCGAAAAAACTAGTAGAAAAATATTCAATACACTAATTTTTATTAACCAAATTTTCAAAAATCTCCAATCTTTCACCACGAATAATGAAAATAAATCGGAAAAACTAGCAGAAAAATATTCAATACACTAATTTTTATGATCCAAATTTTCAAAAATCTCCAATCTTTCACCACAAAATGAAGAAATTAAATAAAAAAAAACCATCCTATACACTTTTAACCCAAAATTTTCAAATCTTCCACCGCAAAACGAAGAAAATGAATCAAAAAAAAAACTAGTAGAAAAAAATATTCTTTCCACTTTTATTCTAAATTCTCAAAAATATCTAATCTTTTACCACAAAACGAAGAAAAAGAATAAAAAAAACTAGTAAAAAAAATATTCTATACACTTATTCTAGCCTATAAATTCTCAAAAATCTCTAAAAAATTCTTTCTCTTTTAGTGCAAAAATAATTTCTATAGTAGAAAAAATATTTTAAACACTTATTGTATAACCTAAATTCTCAAAAATCTCCAATCTTTCACCAAAAAACGAAGAAATTAAATGAAATTCTATACACTTTTATCCTAAATTCTCAAAAATCTCCAATCTTTCACCACGAATAATGAAAATAAATCGGAAAAACTAGTAGAAAAATATTCAATACACTAATTTTTATGATCCAAAAATCATCATTTTTATGATTTTCAAAAATCTCCAATCTTCCACCACAAAACAAAGAAATTAAATCAAAAAAAATATTCTACAAACTTTTAAATTAAATTTCCAAATTCTCCACCGCAAAACGAAGAAAATTATTTAAAAAAACTAGTAGAAAAAAATATTCTATACACTTTTATCCTAAATTCTCAAAAATCTCCAATCTTTCACCACAAAACGAAGAAAATTAATCAAAAAAAACTAGTAGAAAAAAATATCCAATACACTTATTTTTCTAACCTAAATTCTCAAAAATCTCCAATCTTCCACCACAAAACAAAGAAACCAAATAAAAAAAAACCACCCCATCCACTTCTAACCCAAAAATTCTCAAATCTCAAATCTCAAATCTCTTCCAAAACGAAGCAACCAAATCAAAATCTACGCGGCTCTTAACCCACGCACTTTTAACCCAAAATTTTCAATCTTCCACCGCAAAACGAAGAAAATTAATCAAAAAAAAACTAGTAGAAAAAAATATTCTCTCCACTTGTATCCTAAATTCTCAAAAATATCTAATCTTCCACCACAAAACAAAGAAATTAAATAAAAAAACATATTCTACAAACTTTTAACTTAAATTTCCAAATTCTCCTCCGCAAAACGAAGAAAATTATTAAAAAAATAGTAGAAAAAAAATATTCTAGAGTAGAAAAAAATATTCTATACACTTTTATCCTAAATTCTCAAAAATCTCCAATCTTTCACCACAAAACGAAGAAAATTAATCAAAAAAAACTAGTAGAAAAAAATATCCAATACACTTATTTTTCTAACCTAAATTCTCAAAAATCTCCAATCTTCCACCACAAAACAAAGAAACCAAATAAAAAAAAACCACCCCATCCACTTCTAACCCAAAAATTCTCAAATCTCAAATCTCAAATCTCTTCCAAAACGAAGCAACCAAATCAAAATCTACGCGGCTCTTAACCCACGCACTTTTAACCCAAAATTTTCAAATCTTCCACCGCAAAACGAAGAAAATTAATCAAAAAAAAACTAGTAGAAAAAAATATTCTCTCCACTTGTATCCTAAATTCTCAAAAATATCTAATCTTCCACCACAAAACAAAGAAATTAAATAAAAAAACATATTCTACAAACTTTTAACTTAAATTTCCAAATTCTCCTCCGCAAAACGAAGAAAATTATTAAAAAAATAGTAGAAAAAAAATATTCTAGAGTAGAAAAAAATATTCTATACACTTTTATCCTAAATTCTCAAAAATCTCCAATCTTTCACCACAAAACGAAGAAAATTAATCAAAAAAAAAAAACTAGTAGAAAAAAATATTCTCTCCACTTGTATCCTAAATTCTCAAAAATATCTAATCTTCCACCACAAAACAAAGAAATTAAATAAAAAAACATATTCTACAAACTTTTAACTTAAATTTCCAAATTCTCCTCCGCAAAACGAAGAAAATTATTAAAAAAATAGTAGAAAAAAAATATTCTAGAGTAGAAAAAAATATTCTATACACTTTTATCCTAAATTCTCAAAAATCTCCAATCTTTCACCACAAAACGAAGAAAATTAATCAAAAAAAACTAGTAGAAAAAAATATCCAATACACTTATTTTTCTAACCTAAATTCTCAAAAATCTCCAATCTTCCACCACAAAACAAAGAAACCAAATAAAAAAAAACCACCCCATCCACTTCTAACCCAAAAATTCTCAAATCTCAAATCTCAAATCTCTTCCAAAACGAAGCAACCAAATCAAAATCTACGCGGCTCTTAACCCACGCACTTTTAACCCAAAATTTTCAAATCTTCCACCGCAAAACGAAGAAAATTAATCAAAAAAAAACTAGTAGAAAAAAATATTCTCTCCACTTGTATCCTAAATTCTCAAAAATATCTAATCTTCCACCACAAAACAAAGAAATTAAATAAAAAAACATATTCTACAAACTTTTAACTTAAATTTCCAAATTCTCCTCCGCAAAACGAAGAAAATTATTAAAAAAATAGTAGAAAAAAAATATTCTAGAGTAGAAAAAAATATTCTATACACTTTTATCCTAAATTCTCAAAAATCTCCAATCTTTCACCACAAAACGAAGAAAATTAATCAAAAAAAAAAAACTAGTAGAAAAAAATATTCTCTCCACTTGTATCCTAAATTCTCAAAAATATCTAATCTTCCACCACAAAACAAAGAAATTAAATAAAAAAACATATTCTACAAACTTTTAACTTAAATTTCCAAATTCTCCACCGCAAAACGAAGAAAATTATTAAAAAAATAGTAGAAAAAAAATATTCTAGAGTAGAAAAAAATATTCTATACACTTTTATCCTAAATTCTCAAAAATCTCCAATCTTTCACCACAAAACGAAGAAAATTAATCAAAAAAAACTAGTAGAAAAAAATATCCAATACACTTATTTTTCTAACCTAAATTCTCAAAAATCTCCAATCTTCCACCACAAAACAAAGAAACCAAATAAAAAAAAACCACCCCATCCACTTCTAACCCAAAAATTCTCAAATCTCTTCCAAAACGAAGCAACCAAATCGAAATCCACGCGGCTCTTAACCCACGCACTTTTAACCCAAAATTTTCAAATCTTCCACCGCAAAACGAAGAAAATTAATAAAAAAAAACTAGTAGAAAAAAATATTCTCTCCACTTTTATCCTAAATTCTCAAAAATATCTAATCTTTCACCACAAAACAAAGAAATTAAATAAAATAAAATATTCTACAAACTTTTGTCCTAAATTCTCAATAATATCTAATCTTTTACCACAAAACGAAGAAAAAGAATAAAAAAAACTAGTAGAAAAAAATATTCTATACACTTTTATCCTAAATTCTCAAAAAGCTCTAATCTTTCACGACGAATGAAGAAAATAAATCAGAAAAACTAGTAAAAAAATATCCAACACACTTATTTTTCTAACCTACATTCTCAAAAATCCCCAATCTACCACCACAAAACAAAGAAACCAAATCAAAAAAAAACCACCTCATCCACTTCCTAACCCAAAAATTCTCAAATCTCAAATTCATCCAAAACGAAGAAACCAAATCGAAATCCACGCCGCTCAGATACCCCTAATCTCGACATCAACCCGAACAAAATCCAATTACACCACCTCTCCCCATATGCCAGTATAAGCCCTCTCGAAGCCCTTCCAGCCCTTCCAACCCCGCCCCGCGCACGCGCCCTCCCACCAGGCGGAGCCCCGGAGCCTCCGGGGGCGTTCTCTATCGACTGGCCCCCGCGAAAGCGCCCGGCCAGTACGCAGTACGGAGCTTTGCGCTGGCGAAAAAGCTCATGTGCCTGTATACAAACCGCCTATAACCGAAGAGATCGAATATAACAGTGTTAGTAGAAAGTAGTGGAATAGTAGAAAAAGCGCGCGCGTGTGTCGGTGTGTGTGCGCGAGTGGGTACTTCGAAAGGTACTGTGTTTTTTGTGTACCTAAAGGAATAGTACTGGTTACTGTGGTACCGGTTTAGTTGAGGAGAAAATGTTGGAGTTTTATCCCAATTTGAATTTGAATCCTGCCATGTTGCCGGAGAGGAACGGGCAGGATTGCAACGGACGAACAGGTTTGTTTGTTGATTTTTTTTTTGTTTATTTTTATATACAGGGTGTCCAGAAAATGGCGTATAGAGGTGTCATGAAAATACGGGTACGGCTTTAAAGTTGGGAATCTTGGAAAGTTGAAAATTTAAAAGTTGTTTGAAGTCGATAAAATTGACGGTTTATAAAGAGAAATTTGAAGGTTTGTTTTGTTGATTTTTTTTTGTTTATTTTAATATACAGGATGTCCAGAAAATAGCGTATAGAGATGTCATGAAATGACGGGTACGACTTAATCTAAATGTTGTTCATTTTTGAGTCTTTAAAGTTGAAAATTTAAAAGTTGTTTGAAGTCGATAAAATTGACGGTTTATAAAGAGAAATTTGAATTTTTTGATTGAGATGGTAGCATCTAGGTGTGTATATTATATACAGGGTGTGTACTATAAAAACCGACTAACTATACAGGAGGTATTTTTATTTTACTAATTGTAGTTTAAAAAAGTGTACCTACATGAAACTGTTGTAAAATATGAAATATTTCGGAAATTTGAGTATTTTTTGAAACTATTTACATTAGTAAATGTATAAGATTGTTTTTTCTAAAAGATGGTGAAAAATATTCTATACACTTTTATCCTAAATTCTCAAAAATCTCTAATCTTTCACCACGAATAATGAAAATAAATCGGAAAAACTAGTAGAAAAATATTTAATACACTTATTTTTATGAGCTTAATTCCCCAAAATCTCCAATCTTCCACCACAAAACGAAGAAATTAAATAAAAAAACCAACCTATACACTTATAACCCAAAATTTTCAAATCTTCCACCGCAAAACGAAGAAGATTAATAAAAAAAAAACTTATAGAAAAAATATTCTATACACTTTTATCCTAAATTCTCAAAAATCTCTAATCTTTCAGCACAAAACGAAGAAAATGAATAAAAAAAAACTAGTAGAAAAATATTCTGTGTTTTGTGTACCTAAAGGAATAGTACTGGTTACTGTGGTACCGGTTTAGTTGGGAGAAAATGTTGGAGTTTTATCCCAATTTGAATTTGAATCCTGCCATGTTGCCGGAGAGGAACGGGCAGGATTGCAACGGACGAACAGGTTTGTTGATTTTTCTTTGTTTATTTTTATATACAGGGTGTCCGGAAAGTAGGTACCAATAAATGGGTAGTGTATGGATGTCATGAAAATACGGGTACGGCTTTAAAGTTGGGAATCTTTAAAGTTGAAAATTTAAATGTTGTTTGAAGTCGATAAAATTGACGGTTTATAAAGAGAAATTTGATTTTTTTTTATTGAGATGGTAGCATATGTATATTATATATACAGGGTGTCTACTATAAAAACCGGCTTACTATACAGGAGGTATTTTTATTTTACTAATTGTAGTTTAAAAAAGTGTACCTACATGAAACTGTTGTGAAATATGAAATATTTCGGAAATTTGAGTATTTTTTGAAACTATTTACATTAGTAAATGTATAAGATTGTTTTTTCTATAAGATGGTGAAAAATATTCTATACACTTTTATCCTAAATTCTCAAAAAGCTCTAATCTTTCACCACGAATAATGAAAATAAATCGGAAAAACTAGTAGAAAAATATTTAATACACTTATTTTTATGACATAAATTCTCAAAAATCTCCAATCTTCCACCACAAAACGAAGAAATTAAATAAAAAAACCATCCTATACACTTATAACCCAAAATTTTAAAATCTTCCACCGCCAAACGAAGAAGATTATTCAAAAAAAACTTATATAAAAAAATATTCTATACACTTTTATCCTAAATTCTCAAAAATCTATCTTTCACGACGAATGAAGAAAATAAATTGGAAAACTAGTAAAAAAATATTCAATACACTTATTTTTCTAACCTAAATTCTCAAAAATCTCTAATCTTTCACCACAAAACAAAGAAAATGAATTAAAAAAAACTAGTAGAAAAATATATTCTAGACACTTTTAACCCTAAATTCTCAAAAATCTCTAATCTTTCACCACAAAACGAAGAAAATGAATAAAAAAAAACTAGTAGAAAAATATATTCTAGACACTTTTAACCCTAAATTCTCAAAAATCTCTAATCTTTCACCACAAAACTCCTGCCATGTTGCCGGAGAGGAACGGGCAGGATTGCAACGGACGAACAGGTTCGTTTGTTATTTTTATATACAGGGTGTCCAGAAAATAGGTACCGATATGTACCTTCATGAAACGGACTTCATGTAAATTTGGTTCATTTTGGATTTAAAACGATTTAAAACTCGTAGGAAAGTCGATAAAATTAACGGTTTAAGAGAAATTTGAATTTTTAGATTGAGATGGTAGTGTCTAGATATATATAGGGTGTCTGCTATAAAAACCGCCAAACTACCAGGAGGTATTTTTATTTTACTAATTGTAGTTTAAAAAAGTGTACATGAAACATTTGAAGTATTTCGGTAATTTGAGTATTTTTCGAAACTATTCAAATTAGTAAATTGTATAAGATAGTTTTTTCTATAAAATGGTGAAAATTTCGGTTTTTTATCTTGATTAGTTTTCGAGATAATTGAGGTTTTTTGAGGTGTTGTCAAAGAAAAGTTTAATTTTTTCGAAAAAACTAGAAATATTTCGAAAATTTGGGGGGTTTTAAAATCATTCAAATTGGAAAATTGTACAAGAATGTTTTTTTTATAAAATTGTGAAAATTTGTTTTTTTATATCGATTCGTTCTCGAGATAATTGGAAATTTTTGTGGTGTTGTTAAAGACAAGTTGTTTAATTTTTCCGAAAAAACTCGAAATATTTCGAAAATTTGGGAATTTTTCAAAATGATTCATATTGAAAAATTGTAAGGTAATCTTTTCGCTACCAAATGGTGAAAATTTCGTTTCTTTATATCGATTGGTTTTCGAGATAATTAAGATTTTTTGTGTTGTTGACAAAGAAAATTTGGATATTTTTCAAATTATTCAAATTAGTTTTGCACACACTATAAGTATACACCTTGGTTCATTTCAGTTTGATGTAATATGGCCATTTCTATGAGTTGAACAAAGAAAGATTGCTAAAATGACAGTTGTCATTGTGAAAAGTTGCAATGACACAATATAACTCTTTCCTTTTCCTTCACAAATGTGTAACGGAAGTTGTCTTTATCGCACCCTTAGCCTATTAAATTCTATATTGCAAACTAAAATGAATCAACCTGTATATATCTACATACTACAATAAAGCATCGAATATACCCAAAATCAAATCTAATCCCAATACAAAAACTTCGCACAAAAACACATCAAAATCACCATCCAACACATCTACTATCATTTAAAAAACCCCATCGACTGGTAAAAACCATCCCTTATATAAATTATTCCGTCTCGTTAATGGAAACGAAACCTCCTCTATTTGTAGTTTCTGATGTAGGAGTTTCTGTCATCTTATAGAAAAAACAATCCTCTACAATTTCCAAAGACTACAAAATTCTCAAAAATCACTTAATTTTCGAGATATTTCTACTTTTTATGGATCAAATCAAAATTACTAATTTTAATACAATTCGTTCAAAAAACCAAAATATCTCAAAAACCACTTAACATAGAAACACCCCGACTATATCCTCTTATAGAAAAACCTATCCTCTACAATTTATAAAGAACATAAAATTCCCAAAAACCCCTTAATTTTCGAGATATTTCTATTTTTTATGGATCGAATCAAAATTACTAATTTTAATACAATTCGTTCAAAAAACCAAAATATCTCAAAAACCACTTAACATAGAAACACCCCGACTATATCATCTTATAGAAAAACCTATCCTCTACAATTTATAAAGAACACAAAATTCCCAAAAACCCCTTAATTTTCGAGATATTTCTACTTTTTATGGATCGAATCAAAATTACTAATTTTAATACAATTCGTTCAAAAAACCAAAAATATCTCGAAAACCACTGAACTTAGAAACACCCCTCCACAAAAAAACACATCAAAATCACCTTCCAACACATCTACTATACATTTAAAAACCCCATCGACTGGTAAAAACCATCCCTTATATAAATTATTCCGTCTCGTTAATGGAACGAAACCTCCTCTATTTGTACACCAACATCTAGCCGGCGGCGCCTACTCGACTTCTCTTATTCCATTCCATCTCATCGTCCTCCGAAGAGCGAAAACGTCCTCACGCCCGGATCACATTAAGGCGGCCCGGAAGATCCTCCATTTTCCTCCCGAACATCGAAAGCCTTTTCTGGTCGCGTATAATTCGAGGAGAATTAGACGATTACATTTAAAAGCGACCGCCGCCATCTTATGCTCGAATTGCTCCGCGTGCTCTTCGAGAAAATACTCTCCGGTGGAGTTTAAAAGCGAAGAGTTTATAAAGGGCTACTACATTTTATTACATGTTACATTTTTCGCGTTGTATAAGTGAAAAAGTAGGACTTTAAAAGGGTTTCGATGATACATAAACAGAAATTGACATTAATGACGTTTCGTTGACAGATGAATAATAGAGGTGCGGAACGATTTTTTTGGTATAGGGGTGCAGTAACGACTGGTATAAAATAACCGTTATTTTTTCAAAAAACGTTCTACTTTTTACTCTACTCTATTCTACTATATTTATATCACGGTCCTATAAGTATTTCTAAGGTCTGGAAACATACAGGATAAAACAGGGTTCCTAAAACAGCCGCTAGGAGGCGATGAAAACGACCACGGTATTTTGCGTACGAATTATATACATATTGCTCCATTTTTCATTGCAACATAGGCTGTGGGTGCAACAAAGACAACTTCAATTAGACACTTATAAAGAAAAAAGAGTGACATTTGTGTCATTGAAACTTTTCACTCTGACAACTGTTATTTTAATAATCTTTCTTCGTTCAACACATAGAAATGCCAATGTTGCAACCGCGAATGAAGTATAGAATTAGCATTAAGAAAGGCTTGATTCAAACTAAAAATAGATATAAAATATAAAAATATACTGAACTCACCGATGATTTTGTTGTTAACATCACGCCTCACGTGTCTTCGGGTTAATGTATTTCACCATTTTATCCTCGAAATGTCAAAAAAAAATTTTTTTAAGTTTTGACAGCTCGAACTGTCGTTTCACACAACCGCGATTTTAATGTAGCGCGACGCTGATTGGTTGAGATAAATTGGTCCTCCGATCTTTCGCAAAAGTGAAGCTCAAAAAGTCCTCAAATAACGGGATACATTCTCTTATGCATAAGCTTAGAAAGTTTCTAGATATTAGAAATATAGGGACGTGATTTTATTACACGTACATTACATTTGATATAAATGACATAAATGACATTTCGTCGACAAAAGTTTAATAGAGATGCGGAACGATTTTTTGGTATAGAGGTGCAGTAACGACTGTTATAAAATAACCGTTATTTCTTTAAAAATCGTTCTGCTTTTTACTCTACTATATCTAAATACACTGTGCTTCATTCCAGATCACAACATAGATTATATAAGCTATAGGTGCGATAAAGACCACCTCAATTAGACTTATAAAGGAAAAAGAAAGATTGACATTTGTGTCATTGCAACTTTTCACTCTGACAACTGTCATTTTATTAATCTTTCTTTGTTCAACTCATAGAAACGACCATTTTGCGGTCTGAATTGAAGCAATCGGTATATCGAGCATTTAATTTCTGTTCATATAATCATATACAGATTGTCCCCTTTATGTATCGATTAATTGGTATATTTCTTTTGCAGATAACGGATTGATCAAATGCGAGAAAGCTTGGTGTGACAATAACAATCTTCATAATCCTCTAGGTAAGAAAATTTTAAGGATATATAAGATTCTAATGACGGTTTCCCATTGAATGATTTTCCAAATAAAACTGAAACTCTATTCAACAGTCTTCAAAAAAGTTTGCGAAAAGTTTCAGATTTTAACGGAAAACCGTCTTATGATTACTTTTAAGCATATTTTCGTAATCGTACGGTAATAATATAATATAGAAAAAAATATGTGTATTTTGTTCTCAGATAGTAGCCTAATAAAATGCGAGAAAACTTATGAAATATGCGAGGGTTGCGGGCAAAAGATCCACGACAGGTACCTGATGAGGGTGGGAGATTCCAGCTGGCACGAGCACTGTTTGTGCTGCTCCATTTGCGGAGTCCTGCTGTCGCATTCCTGCTATACCAGAAACACCAAATTGTATTGCAAGGCCGACTACGATAGGTAAGATTCGTTTTTTTTAGTAATTTCTAGAGTAGGTAGTTAACTCTTCGTGGGACAGCCTGTATAACGCAGATAATTCGTGTGGAGTTTCTGTCATCTTATAGAAAAAACCATCCTCTACAATTTCCAAAGACTACAAAATTCTCAAAAATCGCTTAATTTTCGAGATATTTCTACTTTTTATGGATCGAATCAAAATTACTAATTTTAATACAATCCTTTCAAAAAACCAAAAATTTCTCGAAAACCACTTAACATAGAAACACCCCGACTATGTCATCTTACAGAAAAAACCATCCTCTACAATTTCCAAAGAACACAAAATTCTCAAAAACCCCTTAATTTTCGAGATATTTCTACATTTTATGGATCGAATCAAAATTACTAATTTTAATACAATCCTTTCAAAAAACCAAAAATATCTCGAAAACCACTTAACATAGAAACACCCCAACTATGTCATCTTATAGAAAAACCTATTCTCTACAATTTATAAAAAACACAAAATTCCCAAAAAATCCTTAATTTTCGAGATATTTTTATTTTTTATGGATCGACTCAAAATTACTAATTTCAATACAATTCGGTCAAAAAACCAAAATATCTCGAAAACCACTTAACACATAAACACCCCGACTATGTCATCTTATAGAAAAAACCATCCTCTACAACTTCCAAAGACCACAAAATCCCCAAAAACCCCTTAATTTTCGAGATATTCCAACATTTTCCCGCATCGAAACCTCATCATCCTTCACGTTTTCTAGCAGACATATTTTTAGTAACTTCTAAACTAGATATTTAACTTTTCGTGGGACACCTTGTATACTAAGATAATTCGTGTGTAGTTTCTGCTCGAGCTGTATAATATGAGAGTTTCGGAAAGCGTTGGAGCGAATCCAATAAAGCTCTGGCGAAAAGGGAGTCAGTGAAGGAGATATATTTACGAATATACACGTATTATGTAGACTTGGGTTATTACAAATAGAAAAAAATAGAAGGGAGGAAGGAAAAGAATGGGCGATAAGAGAAAAAAACCGTTCGGAAAATCGCGAGATTTAATATTTTTAATATCGCGCGAGGGAAATGGACGAGGAAAGCGGGAAAATGTAATTTTAGAATGTTTTGTCAAAAGCGCCTTTGGAGCGTTTATGAAACAGTTTTTATCAAAAATCGAGTAAACAAGGAAACGGAAATTCATTTTATTGCAATTATCTTATACATTTTTCCTGTATATTTTCGAAATATTTCATATTTTTCCGGACAAATTAAACAACTTGTTTAACAACACTACAAAAAGACCAAATATCTCGAAAACCAAACGAGATAAAAAAACGATATTTTTACCATTTTGTAGGTAAAAGATTTCCTTACAATTTATCAATATGAATCATTTCGGAAGATACACAAATTTTCCAAATATTTCGAGTTTTTTCGGACAAATTAAACAACTTGTCTAACAACACCACAAAAAGACCCAATTATCTCGAGAACTAATGAAGTTAAAAAAAAGAAATTTTCACCATTTTGTAGGTAAAAGATTTCCTTACAATTTTTCAATATGAATCCCACAAAAAACCCCAATTATCTCGAAAACCAATCGAGATAAAAATACGAAATTTCCACCATTTCATAAAACACATTTTTAAGCAATTTTCCGATTTGAATAATTTCAAAA